TGGTCTTTTCCAACCTTAATGATTCTGTGATTCTCTAAATGCATTTTCCTGTACATCTGCCAGCATAATCCCTCTGGCTCACCTCCCTGGTGGCACAGGGCTGCATTTTGGGTGCTCACGCACCTGCTCAGCCTCCAAGTACAGCTTTACATAAGAAGCAGGTTGCATGGGGACTTCAAAACATGGCTGGCAGGTCTCACTGCAAGGACTCCAGTCCAAAAGCTAATCCTGGCTGTTTTTTTTTTTTTCTCCTGTTATGCCTCTACTTTCAGCAGTGTCAACAGCATAAATAGCTCTGAAAACAGCAGAAGGACGAGATCTGGAATTTGATGGACTGCGTAAAATAATTCAGTCATAAAGTGACAGTGCAGAGCCATACAACCATGGAACGTACTTCATGGGGTCTTGCCTAGATGAGAAGGAGATTAATGGCAAGGAAAGATTTTCTTTGTCTTAGTGATTTCTGGACAAGTTCAGTCAATTACAGTAAGCCCGGATAATTGCTGTGTGTGTGCAGCTCCTCCACCAGCTCTCATTAATAGCAGTCATTTTAGCCACATCCAAAAATAAACAGGGTGAGGATGACCAGCTCTACTTCTGATGCTCTGTAGCAGCAGCACATGTCTGTAGACATCTGCAGGCAGGAGGAGGGCTGAGCACAGCTATTCACTCAAGGTGTGCATAGCACCCTCCCAGCACCATCCACCACTCAATCTTGACCAATGCAGACACTGCAGGGAAGTCTTCAGCAAGCTCTCCTCTACCAAAAGGAACGTGCACTTCTGCTGCTGGCAACCACAGGGCTTGCAATAAACTTTCTGACATGTGTCGTTGCCCAAAATTTCCTCCTTGCAGGATTTTAGGTACAGAAAGGCGAGTATAAATGATTAACAGAAGTTTTAATAAATCCTGATGGGGTCTTTGGGGTTGATAGATCACTAGCTGTTGTTTATTACCATGTCTTGTAACTCACTATGACATGCTTTATTGCTACGCTCACAGTGACGCATAAAATGTCTGCAGCAAGCTCCCACCATGGGCTTAGTCTTTGGGGATTGACTCAAAGGTGAAACCTGAAGTTTCAGCCCAGATTTTTGGAAACGGAAGGAATTCTGCCTTCCCACCCATCCTCCTCATGGGATGTTGACCCTCAGTGCAGCCCCTCTGGCATTGCTCTTGTCTTGGATCAGGGCAAGCAAAGCAACAAGGAAGATATCCCCACTCTCAGTAAGCTCTTGGAGGCAGTCCTACCACCCTTGTGCTGTGCTCAGATCCCCACCACCCCCAGACGCAGGCAGAGAGCACACACCTGGTGCTGAGCATCCTGCTGGGTTTTAGGCAGCCGTTCCCTTTTTAGCATGGCTAATGTCAGCATTTGGCAAAAATAGCAGCAGTGCCACTCCGGCTCCCAGCCCGACGTCTGGAGGATGCGACGAGTGTTGTGCTCAGACCGTGTCTTGCACGATAAAGGGAATTGTAAGGCAGGACTAAGACATGAATTTCACTTCTCTTTTTTATACCATGGCTCCAGCAAGCAACTGCAGCTAAAAAGCAACCAAGGCAATTAATTACCAATGTCTGTCGCCTGGTGCAGGACCAGAATGGGAGGAAAACAAGGCAGGGAGCACTGCATTCCTCCCAGATAGGAAAAAATGGACTGATGTGTTCTTCTGCTGACACTCTCCAGCAACAGTGAGTCTTTGTTCACACGGGCTGAAGAGAGAGCCATGCTTGTCTAGACAAGAAAGGGAAGGAAGCTGTACAAAGGCTCAGCAGGATGCCCACCTCCCCAGAACCCCAAGCTCTCCAGGTACCAGAGGCGGTGCTTACTGGGGGCTGGGGTGATGTGCCAGCAGCATCCCTGCCCCACCAGGCTCTGCATGTCTCTCCTCTGGGTCACAGCAACCACACCTCTCTGGGCAATGCTATGGTCATATCCATCCCTGGGCTGTGCTGCTGGCCAGGGAGGGATGGGAAAATGACCACTGCAACCTGTAAAACATAGAGCCAAAGGCTCCTGCTGCCATGGGGAAGGTGCTGGTTTCTCATTTTGCAAATCTGTTTTATAATCTTTGCAGGGTTTTTCTTTTTTTTCCTGTTAAAGCATACAGCAAGTGCACAGTAGTATTAATTTTGTGCATTTTTATGGCTATAAACATGATTTCTAGTGAGCTGGCACAACGAGCCATTCGTTTCCTTAAGCAGCAGCAGCAGCACACCTCTCACAGGCAGGCTGCTAATGTGGCAGGAGTTAAAGCAGGCAATTTGCTTGAGAAAAAGAAATATATAAGTAGAAAGTGAAAGCAGCTGAAAACTCACATCATCCTGTTTTGTAAATGAAGCACCATCAGGTGGTGGAAGCCAATGCTATGAGGACAGTTTGGATGTGCAAGGAGCTCAGCCTGGTGCCTGGAAGGCTGCTGGGCTGGCCAGAGGATGGGAGTTAAAAACAAAATATGATAAAATTAAGAAAAATTAAGGAATGATTAAAATCACATGATGCTGACCACAGTAACTCCGGCTGCCAGATGCCCACCAGCTGTTTCTCAGTGGTTTCTTGGGCCATCCACTCTCTCCAGATAAATGCAAACCGGAGAAGTTAGATAATGAGGGCATCTAGCAATGGCAAACCTTAAGTATCATTTTCTCTAAATTTATTCACTGCATCAACTTCAGAACAGAAATTCTTGCCTCATTCTTTAATAATAGCAGTATTGTATGCATTTGACTATTTCTGCCCTGTATGAGCCAATATAGACTCTATCTCATTTATCAATTAACATTTATAAAGTCCTTATCACCATGGAATCAAAACACTGTAAATGGATTAAAAAAATAACCAGGCTGCCTGGGGGAGTCGGTAACTTCATCTACTCTGAATGCTGTGAAGCAGTGTGATCTCATCGGGGTGACAGGGACACACACGACTTTTCAGACACTTCACAAAATTTGAGAAAGGAGTCATTGAAAATAATTAGAGTAATTATTCCAGAATTAAGTGGCTCTTTATTCTGGACCTGAACGTTCATTGCAGGGAACTATTCCGGAAGAGCTATTCTGGAATACTTCATTCTACTTACTAGCTTACTCTAAATTATTTTAACAGCCTCACCTACACATCAGTTCACAGTTGTGGGGCCATTCATATCAATGCAAAGTGTCTGCAAGGCAATGCCAACGCAGGGCGCTGATGTTTCCAGCCACTTTGAAGTGGAGTAACTGATTGCAGCAAAACGAAGGTAATGGTCCTGCTGTCATCAGAGGAGCAGAAGACGTCCCCAGGTACTTAGTGACTTCACATTAAGGAAAGCCATTTTCTCCAAAGCTGACCAACCATGAGATGCATCACTATTTCAGTGGTGTGAAGATGAAATGAACGGCAGAATGCTTCGCTGCCAAGATCCACAGTGGAACTGGTAAGCTTTGCCTTAGCCCAAACATTCAGATTTTAGGGCTGCAGCTCGATATTTGAAAAGCAGGACTGCCGTGTTGGTTTTCTCATCTTCTCCCCATCACCTCCAAATGCTGTGGAGCTCCTGGAACGACAACCCCATCAGTTCAGCAGGGTCTCACTGCCTCTCCCCCTCTCATACATAATTACAGGTTTTTACTACTGCTCATGATCAAGCAGAGACCAAGTTCTGTTCAGCTCAACCTGGTGCTGGAGGACAATAGAGGAATCAAGGAAGAGGCCACTAAGACCATCCAGTCCAGCCATCAAACCATCCCCACCATCCCACTGTGCAACATCTCCACGTTTCTGGATCACCCCCAGGGATGGTGATCCCACCACCTCCCTGGGCAGCCTGTGCCATGCATCACCATTCTTTACGAGAAAAAAAAACCTTTCCTAATATCCAACCATGGACAATGGGACACTTGTTCTTTATGCTGACAAAATTTCACACAATGTCACCCCAAACTGTCAAGAGAAAAAAAAAAAAGCACAATGAGAATATACACAGGATGCATTATTATTCTAGGGATGTGCTAAAATAAGAATATTCATGAGAAATCATTTGTTTATCCAAGTAGCCTTGAGCATTCATCAGTGAAGGAACCAACTTGTAGTAGCCATGAGTCAATATTTGTCCAGTATTAGTAGAGCAGAAGCGGTCATTTTGGGCATCAAAAAAGTCATCATGCTTTGAATTCAGAGAAATCTGTGTGGTTCCCTGCTGCGGTGGAAAACAAAACAAAAAGCCCCAATCTTTGTAAATACTGAATGTCACACCAAGGACAGAGAGCCCAGGAGCTAAGAGGCTATTCTTGTTGTGTTTACACACCGAGCATTTTCATGCTAAATTGGCTTTGGGATGCAGGTGCCAGATGAAAATCACCAAGGCCACATGATGCTAATTGCTTATACAGAGCAGAAGCATGCTGCTGGTTGAAACTAAGGCTGAAGAGGTGGAAGGGTTCGGTCCATGCCCGGCCAGGCACTCTGCCCACACATGCTCATTGAGCTCCCCGTTATCCCATCGCCTTGCTCTCACCCACTGACCACATGCCTGATATCTCCATCCTCCATCTACAGGAACTGGGCATCCTATGGGCTTTTTCAGGTGTTCGAGTTCGTTTGTTTTTTTTTTTTGCCTCTTCATAGACCTTTACACTCAATCTTGCATCAGATCTCTGTACACAACCACTTTACATCAGCTGCTCACCTTGGGAACAGCACTCTGTCACCAGAGCCCATCACGCAGTACCCACAGCAGCAGAGCCAGCCTTCCCCAGAGCAGTTTTTCTTGTCTAAAAAGCATTGGCAGCTCTGCACAAAGCCACACAGCTGAGGAGATGGGCACACATCATCACCCAGAGAGCTATTTTGCGGTGGCAAGGGCAGGGAGAGGAGCACAGAGTGATGAGCAGGTCTTATGCAAACAGCTGTAAAGGGGCTGCACCGCAGCTGCCGTGTGCCAGAGCCAGGTGGTGAGAGCACAGAAGGGCACTGGGAAATAGCTGTGAGTGCTGCAAAACCCCGTGCCCTGCTGGGAAGCTACTCCAGCTGCCAGCACTGCTGCTCTGCCCACATCCATCCTCCCCTTCCCTACACACACCCAGTCCATGCTGTCACCCACACAAAACTGAGGGGCACTGCGGGACTCCAGCACCCTGTCCCCCTTCTGCTACCTCAGATCTGCATCTAACATTGTCTGGGTTTGCATTTCACACTCAAGCCAGGCTCTGTCCTCCACAAAGCTTTGCATTAGAAATCTTCACAAGGAAAGGTGCTGCAGGTCATCATGCGGAGCAGGAAATGCAGAAAGCCTTTATTGCTTCTCCCCATTACTGCACAACGACAATTTGGTGTCGAGGTGGAAGATAAAACAAAGCGTTGCTAAATGTTTCAAGTTATCCTTTAGAAATAAATCTCATACAAACTCTGCTTGAAGCTCAGGTCATGCAGTTCCTCTTTGAGGTACCTTAAACCCTTCCCATTTTACCTCCTAGCAGAGAGTAAGGCATGAGAGCAAGGAGCAGCTCTGTCTGCAAGGGAAGCAGCCTTCAGGATCCACACCATGCTGCACCTATCCTTGGGTGCACAACATAACACCCACGGGTGCTCAGTGAGTGCAAAAGAGCCAGAGCTGCATCTGCAGTGAAGGCAGAGCAGGGTGCACAGAGCATCACACTGGCTGGGGATGGGGAGCACAGAGAGCCCCAGTACCTGCTGAATCCAGTCACTGTCAGTTCCCAATGGGCATCAACAGTTTGCTATGCCAGGCTGGAAAAATCCAAAAAACCAACGAACAGATGAGGATGTCCACATTCCTGCTTGGTGCGACGCAGCACGTTCCTCCCCTTGCCAACCAAAAAAGCAGCAGATCCACACATTCAGTCTCAGTTGTTTTACCACGTTGCCTTTGCCGCAGCACATGGCAATCTGTGTTTAGCAAAAACTGCCAACAGAAATGAAAAGCACGCTGCTGCTTCCCCCACTCCCACTGTGACCCCACAGCATCCACACAAATCCCCTCCAGGAGGTGACCACGCAGCACAGCACAGCTCCTGCAGATGGATGGAGGAAATATCTGAGCACACAGACCTGCTTGGTCATGGAGTTACAGGTCTTAAACAATACAGGTAATTTTTCCCCTCCCGTCTCGCATTCCTGGGAGTTCTTACATTGTTTTTGAGTTCTCGCTTTGGAGCTCACATTCCAGCTTCCTTTTTCTCCCTCCCCACCCTGCCGGTTGGAAAGCAAACGCTGTCTGAGGAGGTGTGTGCATGGAAAGAGCTGTCGGGATCCAGCTGAGCGAGCTGGTTCTTGCTCCCCAGGCTGGCTGCATGCTGTGCCTCCAGGCTCCAACTCACAACCGAGCACTTCTCACTCTTCAACTGAGCTGGAGGCTCCAATTCTCTTATCTACCTCAATTATCCCAGCAGACCTGGATTCATCTCCATCGCCCGCAGTTCTGGTTCATCAGCGAGCAGCATCAGGGGCAGCCGGTGACATACAGCTTCCTCAAGGCAAAGGAGGGTTTTGAACAAAAATAGAGTACTGCTTAAAAGAAACAATGAGAAAACCACTCCTCCCCACATCTTGAAGTACCAAGCCAGGAACCAGTCTTCCTGCTCTTCTCCCTGTAAGACAAAGGGATCATCATTAAGGTTGGAAACAATTTATCAGACCGCCATCTCCAACCACCAACCCAGCCCCACCATGACCACTAAAACTAACCACGTCCCCAATCTCCACAGTTATTGAACACCTCCAGGCACGGTGACTCCACCACCTCTCTGGGCAGCCCATTCCAATTCTCGCTGCTCTTTTTGTGAATAAAATCTCCCTGATATCCAACCTGAACCACCCCTGGCACAACGTAAGGCCATTTGCTCTCACCCCATCACACAACGCAACACTGCATCCTGCACCAACCAAGGGCAACCACACCCAGCACCGTGGCACTGAAGGCTGGAGAGATTGACTCCAGGTATTCCACACTGCTGCAAAGCCAGGACTGCTGATGACTAAGTCAGGCTGAAGCCTTGCAATTACATAGACAAAAGCATGCATGGACCCACTCAATCCTTCCTCAGCAGCACATCTGACACTGGAAACCACCTTGACTTTGCCAACCGACCATCATATTTTGGGGCTTCCTTCATTTAATGCTCAAGGACTTGCCCTTCTAGGATCAGTAGCTGCCCAGCTGGAGTTCCACTCTGCAGCTCCTCAGATCCCATGTGCTACCAACCCAGTTTCACATTGGAGAAACTCTCTGGTCTCAGCTGAAACACAGATCAGCAACATTACACTTCGTTTCCATTCATTTTCACACTCAGAGGATCTGTAAAAACTAAATTGAAGCATCATCTTCAAAGTGTCACCCAGCCCAGCAACAACAAATCCAAACAAAAAAGTAAAATTTTAAATCAAAACCTGTGAATTACCTCAAACAATCTCATTCAGATTTTTATTCACGTTCCAGGGTGCATCTCCAAATGTAAATTAATAAGAGATAAGCTTGCAATATTTTTGATGGGCTGATATGGCAGCATTTTTTCCATTTCAATTAGGAAGGATAGAGCAATTGTATTCCTTGGCTTTGGCTGGAAAGGAAACAGGTTATCTCCTCAGGGTGAGGATTTTCCTGCACTCCTGTCTCTGGGATCTCCTGTCAGGTTAGCTCTAAAGTAAAGGGATCACAGGAGGAAGTTGCTGGCACTGGGGAAAAGGTTTATTAATGTTTTCTCCAAATAATGGCCTCTACCCCAGAGATGAGGGGGATCAGATTTGTCTCAGCAATATTCTTCTTCCTTTTGCAGCTTGCAGAGTTTCCCCCTTACAGACCTGATCCAGGCCAAGGAAGGTAGAAGACAACACTGTGCCTCCTCTCCAGTTAACCATGAAAACAGAAGGAATTCCTCACCTACACTGCTGCTCATCCAAGCCAATTGTTGGCATCTGAATTTCACAAGACCAGTCATACAGTTCCTGCAAGAGGAAAGAAAAGTCAAAGAAATGATTTCTTAAAAATTCTCAATCCTTATCTTATGATTCATCTTGAGCCATCCTGGTCCTTTTCCCTGAAGCCAAATCCCAGCTCTGCATCTAGGCAGAACCTGAGGAGCAGTGGGGCACTGACTGTCCCAAGTTCTCTCCCCAGTTATTTGGGGCAAGGAGTCAGAAACACCATGAGATAGTGAGATCATGTAGAAGAATCCAACAAAGCAGGACAGCCACTGGTGTAAAGCAAAGAGGGGGTCAGAGCACCTTTGCCAAGCAAGGAAAGCTGCAGCTAGAGATGCAGGTAAGAAAGCTTCCACCTCATTTACTGCTCCTCCAAATCATGGTTGATCTTTGATCTTTGATCAATCTGAGAGATCTGTACTCTCAGTACAGCTACTACTTATAGGACACTTTCAAGCAGGATCCTTTGAATTCCAGTAATCCCTAGTGGCATTTGCTGGAGAGAATCCAGGTTTCTCTCAGGTCTTAGCCTAGCCAGTTTTGTGATGTTTTTGGCCATAAAAGGTGTAGTGAAACAAAACAGCTCACAGAATTCACAACGTACAGAAAAAAAACATGGTTATCAAAAGAATCCCTCATCTAATTCAGAAGGCTTAGCACCTTGTAGTTGGATTTTACAAATTTAACATGACATGAAACAAATTCTCACATTTAAGTAACTGGGCTAAGTTAGTCCCAGGGTTTCTGCTGTACAGGGCATGACTGTGCCCTGACCCTGTAGTAAGGTGACAGCAGCACAGGCAAAATCATGAAAATCAGGATGAGACATTAACAACAAAATAAGGTCCAAGATTCTCAGCTTCTATCAAGCTGCGACTTCTGATGCTTCACTCCTCCCATTCATGCTGGCTGGGGAAGTGGCCTGACCCCAAGTGAGCCCCAGTGCAAGGGGAAGCTCAGCTGCAGCCATGAGACACCCAGGCCCACGGGTGAATGCTGAGCATTGATGGAGACGGGGGACAAACTTCACCCAAAGCAGAAGGAGCCTTGGGCAGCAGCACATGAAAAGGCAGTGGAAAAGAGCCAGTAACTGTGGATGAGGAAGTCACAGGGACTCAGTGTCATCACCAAAAGAGTAGGACAGAAGATGGTAGCAGTCTTGTGGAAAACTTAGTGCAAACCTCCCTCTTTGAACAAGATTCAGAGCTTCTGCACTAACATCAGACCTGAGAAATAAGACAGAAGAACCAGAAATGAAGAGGGAAGCAATGCACACAGGGAGCCGCGCCTCCCACCTGCTAATGTTCTGTAGGCTGACCACCACCCCTGAGAAACATCACTGCACTGGGGCTGTGACAGCAAGCTCTTAGAAAATGCCAGCTCAGTGCACAAAGAAAAACCCAGACAGATCAATTGTTAGGAAGTACAGGGTGAGGAGCAGACAAAGAATAGCACAGCGAGGGATGGGGAGAGCTACTGGTCAAGATGGCTGATGGAAAAAATTTGCCTGCTTCTCCCACCCACCATTTCTCCTTCAGGTGGTGACCGTCAGGAACAGAATCTGGTTTGCAAAGTGCCTCTTTGAGCAGCTCCAGCCCATTTTCTCATGCCTCAATAACATTGGCATGCTTCACGGGAGCGGCTCAGCAGCGCTGCTAAAGCTTTCTCACAACATCAAAGAAGCAGAACAGTAAAACCCATCAAAATTTTACTAATCAAAACTACGTGTAATTGTCAGGCAAAGGCAGATAACAGAGCTTGGGCAATCTCTGTGAACCCACAGCTTCACTCAGACTTAGCAATTAAGAATCAGCTGCTACTGCCGGAGTAGCTGCAGAACTATGGGGTAAAGAGTCACAGCTCACCAGCACCAATTAGCTGTTAATGAACATCAGCAGTCCCCCCAGAGAACGGGAGACTGAGACAAAATCCAGACCAAAATACTACCCACGCTTCATGCCACCACTGTATGCCAGCGGATGCTCTGCATCCCTCCTGCTGCACCACGTGGATGGGCACAGGGGTGAGGGAGCCTGTTGGATTTAACACAGCTGGGAAAGAAAGTGTTGGTTTTGAAGTGCTTCATTCCCCAGGTCAGTCAGCTGCATGAGGGAGGGAGCCAGCCTGTAATAATTTAAGCAGCCCTGCCATTACATGTGAAATCACAGCCTTAAAGGAAGTCAGTCAATTTAAACCCGCTCCTGAAGGGGAATAATTAAACACTCCAAAGATGTGGGAGAATTTTAAGCAGTCAGCAAGGATTTAAGACAACATATCATTCCTATCCAGAATTAAAAAAAAAGATAAAACGAAGGCAGGCAAAGCTGGCTTTCAATGTCGACTGAAGGGAGGTACGTCAAGAGAGTCAATCAAAACAGGCTCACCTCTCCAGACTCAAAAGAGACTGCAGTTTTGAGCAAAAGCCTGTGGTTGCATGGGTGAGCTGAACAGCAGTGGTACATACCTGAAAGATGATGAAAAGGTCTCAGAAATGGGAAAAACAGGATGACTCCAGAAGTGAATGGAACAACGCACAGGAGAGGAAAGGAGCAGAAAGCCAAGAGGCTTCCAAAGGTATCTCTGTGGGGGTGGTCTGTTGTGTTTAGTGATGGTCTTGCAGGCACAGAAGCAAAGCAGGACTGTACCCTATGGGAGTACAGAGCTGCAAAGTCTAAGAGAACACAAGACATCTGTTTTCAGCAGACAAAGCGATCTTCAGAGCCATCCTGAGCTCCTCAATGCAGAAAACAAGGATGCAAAGCACCGAGCTCTCTTCTTTCCTAAATTTGTCAGGATAAGGTGGAAAATAAATTAAAGCCCTAGTGGTTCCTCTATTATGCCATTTCCCTGGCATCTCTGAAGTAGCCTGTCTTCCAATAATTTTGCCATTATCTACTCCTGAGAGAACTAATCAGCCTGACTTCACCATGCAACCTGAGGAAAGCTTGCATGCGTGGAGAGGAGGCATGTTTGCAGGCAGAGGCAATGAGCCACCGTCCCCAGCAAAAGTGAGAGAGAAATAGTCAGCACCTTTCAGAGTGTTTCAAATGATACCTGCATGCAATATGGATTATAGAAAGGCACCTCTGTGAGCATTATTCAGTGGAAATAGTTCAATCTTAATATTACTGTGAAGTATAGATCTGAGACTCCAAAGATAACTAAACTTATCTTAGCACTTCAAGGCAAGGCACTGTAAGCACTGATGTGAAAAAGGAAATTACAAAACAAGAAAATCTGTACACTTCTGCCATAGCTTTTTGAAGTAATTAATATATTTTAGCATCTCAGTCCTGTCTACACACACAGCAAATAACGTGCTGGGCTTCAGGTGACCAGAAAGCAGCTCACCACACACTGAGCATTACACCTCAAACAGGTGCTGACCTAGATAGAAATGAGGGAAGGGCTGGAAATATCAAAGGTTTTGTGGTTGGGGAACTTTTGCTCTTTCTGAAACTCTCCAAATACGACGGAACTGTTAAAATCAGTGAACAGGTGAGAACTCATGGAAGAGGCATGAAGGAAAGAAATAATGCCAGTTACGCACATTGCTGCAGAAAATAGAAGAAGATCCTGCAGGAGGGTGAGGGAATGAGTGTGAATTCTTAAGGCAAGGATGTTTCTTACAATGGGGCAAAAGCAATCCATTATAAGATCACATGCGCAAAAGCAGCCCATTCTTGTTGGTAGGAGATGAACACTTAGCAAAAGCCAAAGAGAATATCTCCAGGCATTAATTCTTTCAGAACAGCTTTAGAAAGAACACTAATATGAAGTGGTAAAAAAATAATAATAATAAAAAAAAAAGCCTTTAAAAAAAGTTATGGATGCAGTCCAAGACCTGTGAATGTTTACAGATTCCCCAAGAGCTTTGAAGCTCTGTCAGATTGCAACATCTTGACCTCAGTCATCAGATGCTCACGCTTAAAGGTAAGCAAACCAAAGCACAGACAACAGTCAGTGGGACTGCAGCATGACCACTAGTGAGTACTTGAATCCCAGGGTCCAGCGTGTCTCCTACACCTCCCTCTGCACTGCAGGAGTTTCTCGTGGGAAGGGCAAGGCATCATGGAGTCCTTCATCCACAGAGCCATCACACCGAGCCCTGCTGCTGATCAGAGGCTTACCCAGCTGAAGCTTCCTCCATTCACAGCAGCAAATAGCTTGGCAATGCCATAATATGACAACATAATAAACCCCACATCGGGGCCCCTAATGCTGGTGGGATTATACCCCAGCTCTACGATGCTACAATGAACTGATCCAACAGGAGCTCACTCTACGAGGTCAAATTGAGTCACAAGCTTTGGCTGCTTTACTCAAAAATAGTGACAGGTGAGCAGCCAGACCAGACCTTTGTCTGCAGCACTCCACACTGATGCCTAAAACCCAGCAGTAGGCATAGGACTTATGCAATGTTTTCTGGTTCAGAGGTGTTCTGGCAACAGAGATTCGATCTTGTCGATGAGAGGAGATGGGCTGTTGAAGACTGACTTTAACCCAGTGCTAACACAAAGCAAAACCTCTGGGCGAGGAGCCTAGCACACCTGATGGACGTATTGTAGCACACAAGGCTCGCCATTTCCTTGGGGAACTGCTCCTTCTCTAAAGGAACCATAACTGGTAGCCTGGAGTGCCTCATTCCTGCAAGCACTGGGGCTCAAAAAAGATAAGTATTGCTGGCACCGTCTGTGGTTGCGATTACCACGGACTCCAGTCCAATTTTTGTTACTGTCTCCCACTCCGGCACAATCCAAATGCCTGTGGAAGGGGGTTAATTTCTTAATTTAAGAATCATTAGTGAGAGAAATTGCTCTATGCAGCTGTCTCAAGTCCTTACTAAAATGTCTCTACCAGCTGAGGATTTTTGATTCAAGTTGACCAGCTTTGTTCTCATGCATTTGACACCAACAGCAATAGTCATTTTGGGTCAATTAAATGTTTTCTTCTTTGTTTATCACCATAATATATCTGGCAGCACTACTCCATCTGAATAGGCGGACACAGCATCCATAATGCAT